CCTGCATGGGTGGGGTGGGAGGGGATTTCACGCAGAGAGAGCAACAAGCTATGGAATTCAGGGCAAAGATAGGGAATAGTAAGTCCATATCCCACTGTCCAGTGAAGGATAGAGGTTGTGGATATAAAATCGGAATCAGACAGTGTGTTGGCACGATCATAGAAACGTCAGGCTGGAAGGGACCTTGAGAGATCTAGGCCAGCCCCCAGCGCTGAGGCAGCACTAAGTATACCTGCTAGACCAATGCAAACTCTGGTACAGCTTAAAGGAAAGGTAAGCGGCTATTGGATTAGTTTTGGAGACGAAGTGTCCAGACTTTATTTCTTCCCAGGTCTGTATAGCTTCATTGGGTTCTCCTCCCAGTTTGGTAGAGAAGCCAGTTCCAAGGAGACTTCTTCCTTGATAGGCCAGCCCCAGGCCAGAAAGAAAGGAGCCAGATTCTTGTTCACCTGCCGAGAGAATTTCTCAGCCCACAGGTTCATCTTGGAGGGGTTGTCCTTGGGGATGTTGGACATTTTCTGGTAGTCAGAGAACAGGAGGATGAAGGGTTCCCAGCCAAAGCCCTCCTGCAGCTGAGGGGAAGGAGGAGGAGTGTTAAAAACACAATCTTGGTCCCTGAGTATAACATGAGACGCTGTGCTTGATCCCACCTCAGGCAAAGCCTCATGATGCAATCAGGAATAGTAATGACCACCTCATGAATATGGAGATAGAACCCTTCACTGATCTAAATTTAACCTTTGTGCCTCTCACTTCACAGGCATTCATTGTTCCCCAGCAGTAGACAGTCTCATTTTAAAATGTTACCTGCAGATACATTAGGCAGGGGGGAAACCTATGAGGTGACAAACCCTCATGGTTCAGGGCATAAGACAAATTGCCTAAGGACAGGAAGAAACATCTCCATATGCACACGATTACGTAATAGCCCAGAGACCCAAGCTGCAGTGCTAGCAGCAGCAACCTGGCTTCATAGCCCCAGGAACCTCCCTGCAGCCCTCTGCTGACAGCTGCTAATATGTGCAGCGGAGGGTGATTTGCACAGAGGGAAGGAGAGGACTGACAGGAGAGGAAGGTGGTACAAAGGCTGGGCAGAGAAGGGGAGGGGACGGGAGATTGTAGGTGGGGCATACTTTGGCCTGGAATGGGAATTCATGGGGTTGTTTTCAAAAATAAAAATAATTGAGGAATTAGTTCAAAGCAAAGGGGGGCTGGGCGTGGGCTGGGGATTAGGGTTAATGAGCAAGGTTAGGTTAAATTAGAGGTGACACTGGGGATCATACAGAAAGTGTGTCATATCCTCTTCTCTTTGGCCCATTTGGGGTCTATTTAGATTGCAAGGTCTTTGGGGCCCAGACGGGTCTTATCATATATATGTAAGGCAACTCCAGGCTACGATACAAATAATACTAAATGATGGGAGAGGGGGTTTACACCGTCCTCTGCAGCATCTCGTGAAGCCACTGTCAGAGACAGGACACTCAACTGGTTGGCCCTCAGCTCTGATCAGTACGGCATTTCCTATGTTTCCAGATGGGGAATGCTATACATAGGCCCTGGCTCCTTCACCTCAGCAGAGAGGCAAGGAGACCCTCAGGGGCTCCGCTGACTGATGGCAGGAACAACACTGGCTTGTTTTCACTGCCCAGCTGGAGAGGGCCTGCCAGCACTGCTCCCCCTCAGTCCAACCAATGGCCACTCAAGGGATGGTGGGGAAGAGGGGGAAAGCAGTTGTACTGTATGTCTGTATTCTCCTCACTGCACCCCTGTGAGGGAGGGTAGCGTTGTTATCCCTGTTTCACGGATGGCATACAGAAACTAGGGCCCAGATCCTCAAAGGTATTTAGGCGGTAACCGCCTATTGAGTTTAACGTGCAAAGAACCAGAGCAACAGCTCCTGTTTTCCTACCCAGGAGGGAGATGGGCTTTGCCACCAAGGCAAAGGAGCCGATGCTGTCTGCCAAAGTCCTGCAGCAGAGAGAGGGCCTGGAAAAACACTATGGCAGACTGAGCCATCCATGTGCCTGCTGGGTGCTTTATAGACCTAGGACAAGTCCAGCTCCTAAGCAGATGTTTGTGTGGGCTGCAGACTCCAGCCGGAGGATGTTTATCTGCCAAAGAGATCACTGAGCACAATGAAAACACTCCAATCTCCAACCCCGCCTCTCCCATAGTTACCTGCAAGTACGTCTCCAGCGCAGTCCACATGCTCCAGTCCTTCAGCTGAGCCCCTTTCTCCAGATAACCTGTGACCCTCTGCTTCCGACACTGTGGCTGGAGAGCCTGGTGGGCCCTGTCTCTGGGGATCCCCAGCACCTTCTCATGCACATAGACAGACCACAGGTTGCAGGTGGCCTCAGTAGTGTGAGGGGGGAATTCCCAGCCTGCCCGCTGCTGGTTGTGTCCCAGCTCATGGATGGGGCCCCACAGGCCAGTGGCTCGCATGTGTTCCACATTCACCATCTCCTTCACCGAATCCAGGTGGCCCATGATGGGGTAGCCAGCGTGCATCCAGCCTGGAGGGAAGACATGGGGAGTGCTAACACCAAACGCTCAGACATGCTTATGGCGCATTTGATCACTATGGATGCTGTTTTATTAAAATATGACTAAGCAAGTCCCGCCCATTTCCATAGGGCCTTTCATCTAGCTGAGCAATAAGGCCCTCGGTGCCATAATTATCTGAGCACCTCACCATCGCTAATGTTTTTATCCGTACCACACCCCTGTGAGGCAGGGCTGGGCAGTTATACCCATTGTACAGATGGGAACCAAGGCACAGAGGGTCTAAGGGCATGTCTGTACTGCAATCACGGCATGCCGCTGCAGCTCGTGTAAGTGCCCCCGAGATAGCTGTGATCTACCTAGCACAGGTACTGGCACTGTGAGGCTGCACCACCCTGGGCTTCAGTGTGGGCTGCACGAGCCAGCCCTTGGCCCTGGATTATTACTCACACAGGTAACCCACGCTAATGTCTGTGCTGCTGCAGCTACACTGCTCCAGTACCTGAGCTACGTAGATGAACGATAGCTTGGGTATGTCTGCATGAGCTGCAATCACACCCTGTGGATGCAGGCTCAGTGACTTGCCTAAAGTCACACAGGAAGGCTGTGGCAGAGCAGGGAGACCCAGGTTCAGCTCCCAAGTGCCCTGGAAAATGCATCTTCCTGAAGGGTCCCAAAGCACTTCACAAACCACATACACTATCTATGTCTGCATTTCAGGAATCACTTCGCCTTTCACGCGTTGTCACCTCTTGGGAGGAGCGCAGGAGCTGTTCAACAGCCCCCAGCAACATTTTGCAAGAGCTCAAGACCAGAAAAAGAGGCAAAACATTAGTCCATTAGAAACACCTGAGGAATTTTAAGTCCACGGAATGTGATCACTGTAACTGGCAGCTGCCCAAGGTAACACATGTTAAAACTAAGGTTTACAACAAAATATTTCCATGTGACTTAACCAGGCATCAGGAGTTCGGCATTTGAGCACAAACCTTGTGCTGACTCTCTGCACAGTGAGGAATTTCACCCAAAGTGCTGCTCTGAAAAGTGATACAGTAAAAACAGCCTCCTGAGGCGCCATATTTCAAATCTAAGTGACTCTAGATCAGATGTGCTCTGTTTACAAGTAAAAATGTGCTCTGTTTTTTTCCCAGATGCCAATATTGGAACTCATCCTGGACTCAGAGTCAAGCTGGGTTTCTTCCCTCTTTTCCATCATCACCAGCAATAAAGGTTCTACAGTTTAAATTCTTCCCTCGGTGACACCGCTGAACCTTATTTTCAGTAGGTTTGCACAGGTGTAATTACAAGGCCCTATCACTGAAATTTAATCAACAATTCTGTTGCTGAGACAGATGGAGGAACAGAATCCAGATTGCTCTCTCCAAGCCGTACTGTAATAAAAGCTATGTAGTTGAGCATTCATGTCAGCAGCTCTGAGTCTGACCATGCCCAGGGAGCAGAACTGCCAAGTAAGAAGGGTTCGTTTTTACACAGTCACTTGTCAGAGTAGAGCTGCACTTTCATGCATCTGTGTAGTTTACAGAACTCTGCCTCAGCAGATCCAGGTTAAAGAACTACAGACCCAAGTATCAACCCTGCATTGCATCAGAGAAAATGAAGACTTTCTGGATAGGAGTCAGCGTTTGGTACTGCAGGCACAGCATGCTGAAGAATCAGAGAGGGCAGTGCAGAACGGGGAAGAAAATTGGCAGCATGTGACCTCTAGAAGAAAAGAGGGGAGAACTCATGTACCCCCAATGCAGATATAGGTAAGAAACCGTTTTCAGGCTCTCTGCACAGGTACTATTATGGAGAATGGTTTGGAAGAGTTGTCTGAGGAAAGGGATCAGAAGGAGACCCCATCGACTGGAAGGCATGGGATGCATTGTCCTAGGGATGGGGGTTCCACAACCACTACTCCCAAGAGGAGGCAACAGGTGGTGGTGGTCAGGGACCTCCTCCTAAGGGGGACGGAGTCATCCATCTGCCATCCAGACCAGGAAACTCAAGAAGTGTGCTGCTTGCCTGGAGCTAGAACTCAGGATGTGATGAAAGCTTATGCTCCAATACGTCTTTTAGTCTATAAGGTGCCACAGGACTCTTTGTCACTTTTTACAGATCCAGACTAACATGGCTACCCCTCTGATACAGGAGAGATGGTTGTATTTTAAAGAAGCCTTATTGAGGGCACAGGAACAAACCATCCCGAAGTGCAGAAAGAATGGCAAATATGGCAGGCGACCAGCTTGGCTTAACAGAGAAATCTTCGGTGAGCTTAAACTCAAAAAGGAAGCTTACAAGAAGTGGAAACTTGGACAGATGACTAGGGAGGAGTATAAAAATATTGCTCGAGCATGCAGGGGTATAATCAGGAAGGCCAAAACACAACTGGAGTTGCAGATAGCAAGGGATGTGAAGGGTAACAAGAAGGGTTTCTACAGGTATGTTTGCAACAAGAAGAAGGTCAGGGAAAGTGTGGGCCCCTTACTGAATGGGGGAGGCAACCTAGTGACAGATGATGTGGAAAAAGCTGAAGTACTCAATGCTTTTTTTGCCTCGGTCTTCACAGACAAGGTCAGCTCCCAGACTGCTGCACTGGGCAGCACAGTATGGGGAGGAGGTGAGCAGCCCTCAGTGGTGAACGAACAGGTTAAGGACTATTTAGAAAAACTGGACATGCACAAGTCCATGATTGAATGCATCCAAGGGTGCTGAGAGAGTTGGCTGATGTGATTGCAAAGCCATTGGCCATTACCTATGAAAATTTGTGGCGATCGGGGGGAGATCCCAGACGATTGGAAAAAGGCAACTATAGAGCCCATCTTTAAAAAAGGGAAGAAGGAGAATCCGGGGATCTACAGACTGGTCAGCCTCACCTCAGTCCCTGGAAAAATCATGAAGCAGGTCCTCAAGGAATCCAATTTGAAGCACTTGGAGGAGAGAAAGATGATCAGGAATAGTCAACATGGATTCAACAAGGGTAAGTCATGCCTGACCAACCGAATTGCCTTCTATAATGAGATAACTGGCTCTGTGGATATGGGGAAAGCAGTGGACATATTATTCCTTGACTTTAGCAAAGCTTTTGATACAGTCTTCCAGAGTATTTTTGCCAGCATGTTAACGAAGTATGGATTCGATGAATGGACTATAAGGAAGATGGAAAGTTGGCTAGATAGTTGAGCTCAACGGATAGTGATCAACAGCTCGATGTCTAGTTGGCAGCCAGTATCAAGCGGAGTACCCCAGAGGTCGGTCCTGGGGCCAATTTTATTCAACATCTTAATTAATTATCTGTATGATGGGATGGATTGCACCCTCAGCAAGTTCACAGATGACACCAAACTGGGGGGAGAGGTAGATACGCTGGAAGGTAGGGATAGGGTCCAGAGTGACCTAAACAAATTGGAGGATTGGGCTAAAAGAAATCTGATGAGGTTCAACAAGGACAAGTGCAGAGTCCTGCACTTACGACAGAAGAATCCCATGCACTGCTACAGGCTGGGGATCAACTGGCTAAGCGGCGGTTCTGCAGAAAAGGACTTGGGGAGTACAGTGGACGAGAAACTGGATATGAGTCAACAGTGTGCCCTTGTTGCCAAGAAGGCTAATGACATATTGGGCTATATTAGAAGGATCATTGCCAGCAGATCGAGGGAAGTGATTACTCCCCTCTATTTGACACTGGTGAGGCCACACCTGGAGTATTGCGTCCAGTTTTGGGCCCCCCACTACAGAAAGGATGTGGACAAATTGGAGAGAGTCCAGCAGAGGGCAACGAAAATAATTAGGGGGCTGGGGCACATGACTTACGAGGAGAGGCTGAGGGAACTGGGCTTATTTAGTCTGCAGAAGGGAAGAGTGAGGGGGGATTTGATAGCAGCCTTCAACTACCTGAAGAGGGGTTCCAAAGAGGATGGAGTTAGGCTGTTCTCAGTGGTGGCAGATGACAGAACAAGGAGCAATGGTCTCAAGTTGCAGTGGGGGAGGCCTAGGTTGGATATTAGGAAAAACTATTTCACTAGGAGGGTGGTGAAGCACTGAAATGAGTTATCTTGATTTTAAGAAATAGGGAGGAACTCGTTGAGAATTTGAAAGTAGAAGGCAGCTTGGGTGAAAGTGATCATGAAATCATAGAGTTTGCAATTCTAAGGAAGGGTAGAAGGGAGAACAGCAAAATAGAGACAATGGATTTCAGGAAGGCAGATTTTGGTAAGATCAGAGAGCTGATAGATAAGGTCCCATGGGAATCAAGACTGAGGGGAAAAACAACTGAGGAGAGTTGGCAGTTTTTCAAAGGGACACTATTAAGGGCCCAAAAGCAAGCTATTCCGCTGGTTAGGAAAAATAGAAATGTGGCAAAAGACCACCTTGGCTTAACCACGAGATCTTGCATGATCTAAAAAATAAAAAGGAGTCATATAAAAAATGGAAACTAGGACAGATTACAAAGGATGAATATAGGCAAACAACACAGGAATGCAGGGGCAAGATTAGAAAGGCAAAGGCACAAAATGAGCTCAAACTAGCTACAGGAATAAAGGGAAACAAGAAGACTTTTTATCAATACATTAGAAGCAAGAGGAAGACCAAAGACAGGGTAGGCCCACT